GTGGATAACTCTCTCCACCCGACACGGATTCTAATTGGTAAGAGTTAAGATGGTAAATTGGAAAGATAAAAGGTATCACAAGTCGAGAAAAAATATGAGAAATATAAAGTTGAATAATCAAAACTGATGTATATTTTTATGCTGGAAAATACTAGACAACATGTAGTACAGGTAACATTATAATCAACAATCATAGTAGAAACATGTAATCACCTAGATCGTCATAAAAATATCAAGTACTAGATTAAACGAGATGTGATCTGCAGAAAAGCTACTACTCAGTACCTCTTTAATTCTTGTATACCTTGAAAGTATAATCCACGAAGATGATATTTCTTTTTTACTGGCGAATTCTGGCAGTCTGTCTTTAATGGATGTTCTTATTTTCGGGTGGTTGTAGAAGATCTATGTGTATCTATCGTTTCAACTGTTTCTGTGGAGCCAGTTACATAGGGCGTACAATTCGACAGGTCCGTCAACGCATTACAGAACATCATTCAACATGGCTAAGCAAAGGACAGGTGAAAGTGATTAAAAGTTCTATTCTCTCTCACTTGGTTGACACAGGCCATCAAGTCGAAGTGAATAAAGCTTCTAAGGTTATCTACAATATTCCATCAAATCTACCACATGGTTTACGAGTGCGCCTTTTGCACATTGCGGAAGCCATCGCAATCCATGTTCAAAAACCTGACCTTTGCATCCAAAAGAAATTCGTACAACCACTTTCTCTACCCTGGCCTTCAGTATAAAATTTCCGTCAGAAGAACTATTTTTCATACTTCTTCCATTTTTTATTATTTTTTATTTTATTTTATTTTTAAAATTTTTGTAATTTTGTTTCTATCGCTTTTGAGCCTTATAACTTCTCAACATTCATCTCTTGATTCTTACGTAACTACTATCCTATTGACCATCCGGTAAAATTCTATTCCTTCTTTGTTTCTTATATTACGCAACATAGCAACTTCTTGATTACTTTGAATATTAATAATCTAGAACAACATATATAAGCGAACAATATTGTTTTCGATTAGATCCTCATCAGGCTTTACTCTAATATACAGTAATATTTATATGCATATACGAAATTATTAAACCAATCAAGGTAGTTTAAAAGTCAATGATAACAATGGAAAAGATTACATAATAAGTAAAATGTGAAAAGTACAAATTGATGGTGTGACAACAGGTGCATTAGTTTTTGATAAGCAATAATAAAAAAGGTTCAAATCAATGTTACATAATCTGAAATAGGTCAATGATTAGGAGAAAATATAGACAGTGAGATAACAATTATGAAGATTATAAGATGACGTAATAAGAAATGTTCAGATAATTGGACCATGAAACGTATAGTTGAGAGAAAATAAAATGGTAGGAGGGTGTGAAGAAAAATAATAAACGAAGAGAAAGTTAGAAAAGGAATAAATAAATAAATAAATTCATTTATTACTTAAGGCCAAGGGAGAGATAAGGGAGTTACAAATTTCTTCTGGACACAAAGACTTGGCTTGTTGGCTCGGATTCCTATAGCTTCTGCTATGTGTAAGAGACGAGATCGAACACCATAAGGAAAACTAGTGGGAATCCGATAAATAACTTTGAACGACTTGTTTCTGTCCACTATATGACCGCTATCGATCAAGTGTGATAGAACCGAGCTGCGTATTGTTTTGACATAGCCTTTGGTTTAATTGGTTTAATAATTTCGTATATGCATATAAATATTACTGTATATTAGAGTAAAGCCTGATGAGGATCTAATCGAAAACAATATTGTTCGCTTATATATGTTGTTCTAAATTTACAATATGGGAATATTTCAAATATTAATAATCCTCTTTCTTCCAATTACTCAATGTTAATTTAAATGTCATTATGTAATTATTACGTAACGTATCCACTCGATGAGTATTATATTATTATTGTAAAACATATATATTAGTGTAGAGCCATGATGAAAAACTAATTGAAAAGAAATTTCTTCGCTCAATTCGTTCCTTCTTTATTTACCAAATGGCAAAATGGGAATTTTCACTGTGTTCTTTTTTTACTGAAAACAGCGACATTATTCTCTGATACAGTTCTTGTTATATCTTGACTGTAGTGTTATTTATCTTAAAAATATATTGAATTTTTTAACCTTAAAGGTTATCAATGTTATATTTATATGCTATACTGAAATATATTCCTGTGACTAAATTATCATGTTTAGGAACAAGACTAATATCACTCAAGTGTCATCTACTTGGAATATAATGAAGAATAAACAAGATGTAGGTAAACTTTAAAGAATTTAATTATCTAGATTTTATCTTTATTATCATTTGCTCACAAGTTTAATTAGATTGACCCTTAATAATTATTCACGAATCCTTAGCTTCATAATAATTTAGAAATAAACTTTGATTACTTTTAGCAAAATTAAAATGAGTCCTTGTTTCGTTAACTTATCACTTACCTGTGTATAATAACTCTATAAATATATTACTTATGTTTTAATGCTTAATATTATCGATATTTTCTACATGTTCTTCTATTTATCACTCATGTTAAACGACTTACTTACACATGTGAACCCTCGTGAAGGAGCATAGACCGCCCACCAGCACTCTCCATCCAACCCTGTCCTGGGCAATCCTTTCCAGTTGTTTCTAGTTGTTATTCATTCTTTTCATATCTGCTTCTATTTCCCGACGTAGTCTGTTATTCGTCCTTCCTCTTTTCCGTTTCCGTTCAGGACTATATTATTATTATTATGCTTTTACACAACAGTCATGATTTTTTCTATAGTCAGTCAAACTTGTCGGTATACATTGTAGGCAAGCAAACAAGCAATAGTTTCTTTTAAACATAACATTACTTTTTACATAATTGAAGGTAGTCTGCAAGAAACTTTAAGTTTGAATTTCGTTCTATTTGGTACTCGTCAACGAAATGCATTTTAAATTAAGTAGAAATTCACAATGTTAATCACTACCACTAGACTATTTGAACCTCAAATGTATTAAATGTAGAACTTATATACTTATTAACTAATTGATCACTAAGTAGAGATGATCTTCATGTTTATTTAGTTATTTCATGGTGAATGAATTCTATCAATCAAGTTGTTTCTGTGATTAATTCAAAAGATTCAAAGCTTTATGGGTATTAATTTAGTAATTTCAATGGTTAAGAGCATGAGTCAGTTGAAGCTAGACCACCATGAAAAACCTGGGAGCACTGGACGGCCGATTCGTCCCACAATGGGACTCCTCGGCAGCGCGCATCCGCGACCTCGCCCCCTGCGAGATTCGAACCAGGGACCTACTGGTCTCACGCGCGTGTACTTAACCACCAGACCACTGAGTCGGCGTCAAACAGTGTTAGTGTCTAACTTCAACTAATCCACGAAATCGAGCGACACATCCACCATTGTCTTCAGTGAGTTACTATTTCACAACCGACCTGGTTGAACTCCACTGGTCACTACTTCTCACTAGAATTCCAGAATATACCTCTTGAAGTCAGTCACTAGTGAGCATATAATGATTGTTATCAGATAGGTTTTATGGATATTATAGTAATTTCACTGGTTGAGATCATGAGTCATTACGTGGATGCGCACTGCCGAGGAGTCCCATTGTGGGACGAAACGGCCGTCCAGTGCTTCCAGGTTTTCCATGGTGGTCTAGCTTCAACTGACTTATGATCTTAACCATTGAAATTACTAAAATATCCACAAAACCCATCTGATAATAATTTTGTATTTATTTTTTTATAAACCCAATCAAGCAAAATAATGATCACACTAATGACCTAAATTCGATTAAATTTTCAAATTATTGGATTGTTTTTTGTTTGTTAATTAATGATAAAATGTAGGGCAAAGTTGTCAGCAACAACAACAAAAAAAATTAATATAGTTAAATAATCCTTTGTAAGTAAATTAGCAACAATAATGGGTGGAATTTCAAACCAGCTTATTTTAATTGCTTATAAAGTAAATCCATGTGGAATATCCCTATGAAATCCACAGTCATAGCTGTCTATCGCTGTTGCAGTGTAAATTGTAATCATATTACTTATCTTCCAAATATAATTACATTATTTAGATCCTTTTCGTGAAGCTTAACAGTCGAAAATAAGTTACTGTGTGAGTTAATTGTAACCTGAATATATGGACAGTGAAATATAATAATACTGAACGTATAAATCCTTTTTTTCTATGGTGGATTAAACACTGCCATTTTAAAAACAAGTTATCCTCAAGCAAACCTATGTTTATTAGTATAGGGTTGTGAAGATTGTTGAGCTTAAATTGATATAATGAATGGATTGATGTTAGATCACCATTGAGAACCTGGAAACACAACGGCCGTTTCACCCTAGAATAAGACTCCTAATCAGTGCGCATCTGTGAACTCGCGCTCAGGACTCGAATCTTTAAACCTTAGGTCTTGCGGGCAAACACTTAACCTCTAGACCACTGGGCCGGTATTCAACGGTGTTAATGTTTAACTTCAATCAATTCGCGATATTGTGCCACCGTCCACCATTGTCTGCAATGAGTAAGTGCCTCACAACTGACCCAACTGAATTCCACTGGTCACGGTTCCTCACTAGAACTCCAGGAAAATCCATCTTGAAGCGAAAACGGCCATCTAGTGTTTGTAGGTTTTCAATGGTGGTCTATCAATGATTCATTTATGATATCAATCTAAACCTATATTTAACTGAATTAAGAAAAGTGATCAACTGGATTACATAGTTCTGTCGTAGATTTTAATATGAAGATGTACTGGTATAATTATTCATTCGATATTTTGTTTGATTAACCGTTCCTTTTTATATTTGGAGCACTTATAAGTAAGAAGTAATGGTATTCTCTAGATTTGTCTAAATTCTTGAACTATTAATCCTCAAGCAATAATTTCTCTTGTTTTTAAACTTTTAATCATATTTCATTACTAACATTCTGATTCAAATAAAATATTTAAAATGAAACAATATTTTTAACGATCTTGAAAGAAGAGAACAAAGTTAGCCAACAATATAAAGAATTCAAATTCTACGTTTATTGATGAATTTCGATATATTACGCTCAGAATGTCAATATTAAATCGTGCTGCTGCTGCTGTTGGTGATGATGATGATGATGATGATGATGATGATGATGATGATGATGATGATGATGATGATGATGATGATGATGATGATGATGATGATGATGATGATGATGATGATGATGATGATGATGATGATGATGATGATGATGATGATGATGATGATGATGATGATGATGATGATGATGATGATGATGATGATGATGATGATGATGATGATGATGATGATGATGATGATGATGATGATGATGATGATGATGATGATGATGATGATGATGATGATGATGATGATGATGATGATGATGATGATGATGATGATGATGATGATGATGATGATGATGATGATGATGATGATGATGATGATGATGATGATGATGATGATGATGATGATGATGATGATGATGATGATGATGATGATGATGATGATGATGATGATGATGATGATGATGATGATGATGATGATGATGATGATGATGATGATGATGAAATATTCGTTTCAACTTACAATTAAATAGATTTAGATAATCATACAATTATTTTGATTTCTCACTGACTAACCTCATTCATAAAGTTTAAAAAGAATTATATGGATATTTTTGTTTATTTACTTAACAATTGTTTGATTTAACTATTGTCTGGCTATATTTTTAATATATATTAGGGGAAAAATACGTAAATCCTTTGGGAAGTACCATTACTCAACTGGATTTTGTTAGTAATCTATTTGATTATATAATAATAGTAATAATATTTAGTTCCCTTTATGATTAATATAATAAACTATAAAATACTATTTATTAGATAAATGATGTTTTATTTACATATATATAAATTAAATGGACAAATCATTCTCAAATGAATTAATCCTGATTAGCATATTCTGACAATCATATTTCTGAAAACAAAAAAAAACATAAAATAAAATAAACGAAATACAAACAAAAAAAAGCAAGAAGAAAAAGGAAAATGCATAGTGATTTAAAGTTGGAAAAAATTGTGTTTTTTTTTCTCTTCAATGTTAGTTCAATATACATTTGTGTTGTAACCAGTTGAAGAGACGTTCGACTTTATAACTTTTTTTTCTAAATTTGATTTCCTGACATGCCATTGTTCCTTTTATTTGTGTGTGTGTGTGTGTCTATGCATGTATTTATGTATGTGTGCGTTTGTTTTGGTTTTTCTTTTGAATTATTGAACAGAAAGAAACTTCTACTATTATTACAATAACAACAAAAAGAAAGAAAGAAAGAAATATATATCCAGTTGGTATATTTTAGAAAAGAGAAAAACATAACAACAACATGATTTTTGTGAGAAAATAGAATACAGAGAGTTATGTTGAAAAGTAGGTAGAGAAAAGAGAAAGATTGCGGGGGGAAGTGGAATGTTAGAAAACAATTGAATCAAGTGATTCATCAATTGTAAACTTGTTACATGTAATGAATTAAAATGTATTTTTATCAATATAAGTAGTATCTTGAAAGAAAAAAGAAACTGATTGTTATCTTTAGTGAAATAAATTCAAAAGATGTTATTTAATAAACGACTATTCGGTTAAGAAAATTATTTAAATTTGACAAGAGTTTTTAGATTCTTTAATAAGTATGAACAGTGAATCGTAATAATTCCAATAACGAAATGATTAATGACTAGTAAAGATCATCCTTATGAAAATTGATAGTCAATAGATATTAGGGTGTTGGCCTTGGTTAAATATATCTATGTTTGATGGGTACTGTTTTGCATTTTAGGCAATTTAATAAACTAATGGTTTTGGTTGTTTACATCACGTACTGTTTCTAGTTAAACAAACGTTAGAAAGCAGGAAGCATTGATTAGTTATTTTGTTGTGACATGAGGCTGACCAGAATTTTGTGGATGACTGAATTAGGGTTTAACATGAGGATATTTTAATATGTTTTAAAAATCTTGATCTTATTCAATTTTGCTCAAATATAATTATTGTAAAAGACAATATTATTGACCAAATTTCCTCGTCTTTGAGAAGCGTATGGCTATTTTAAGACAGTCTTTAGTAAGGGAATCTTGAATTATCAAGCACATTAATAGATAGAAAACGCATGTCTGTACTACGTAATTGCACAACAGCGATATGAGATAAGATATAGTTCGCCTTCATTCATATCTTAAAGGCTGTTAGTGAATAAGAGTATTATGCATCATTTCTTCTGCGACAGTGACCTGGTGGGCTTAATCGATATGAAATCTCTTGATATCTCACTGTTCGCTTCATATATTGCTGTTACAACTTTCCACAAATACGTTGAACTGTATACTTCATTTTCTCAACCCTTTATTATGAATCAAGCACCTTTAATACAAATTTCATTTTCATGATGTTTTACGACAGAACAGTTTCTTGATGGATTCAGTGTTTTAAAGTTATTTGGTGTAACGATGAATATTTCGTTGTAAAGTAAAATAATACTAGTATTACACCCTTGATGAAATGCACTCTTGGGATTTGTTTTGCTGCATGATTTGGCCTGCAAAATAGAATGAATGAAATGACTATCTGTAAAGTTCATCCTAAGATTGTGTAACACTGCTGGTCTCGCTTGGTAATCTCACCTGACCAGAAGAAAGCAAGCTATAAATTCCCTTTAATTTAGGTAACATAAATGTATGACCAATACCTTACTAAACGCAGCTCCCTATAGAATAAAGTGTTAGTACGGCGGTACTGTCTTTACGATCAAAGAAGAATGTGGTCAAAACAAGGTGATATTCGTCATCTATCATTTAGTGCTTACTTACATGGTTCGATTGTATGAAATTGGATACCTATTAGTAAAATCATTATATTGATTGAAATCGATACCTTTCATAAAGATCATCTTCAACATTCCAAACGTTGTTCATAATATCTTTCTAATGACGCAGGTTAAATCACCAAACTCATATATGTGATTTAATCCTAATTATTAATCAAAATGAGGGTACTATCAATATATAAATGAGTGTATTGTCGACTAGGGTCGTCGTCGTGTTTTGGGGGTTAATAAATCTTCACTTATACCAGTCTTTGTGTTCTTACTTTAGCGTCGTGGGATTTGCAGAAGTCCCTCGTACTAAGTATAAAAGGTAAGTGTTTCCAACACAACAATCAGCGATATAAAAAGATATAAAAAGTAGCATTCAAACAACAAGACACCAATAAATCAATAAAATTTCCACTTTGTTTAAATTTCCGGAAAATGTCCGCGATTTTGACTACTGTGTATATTCGTATAATTGCACATAATGAATTCTTTGATTCAGTTGTCAGTTAGTAAAAATTTATTCAAATTTACATTAAACATTTTGTGCGGTAAGTTTTCCATAGGTAAATTAATATCGACCGTTGATAGGTGTTAGATTTGTGTGACTAGGGTATACAATACAAAAGATTATGAATGTAATCTAAAATAAAAAGACTTGATTTAATGATATTGGCAGTTTAAAAATCCCCATAGAATATTCAAAAACGAAGAATATTTGAGCGAACAATTGTTTTCAATAACTTCATCATCACGCTGATTGATTCAACAAAAAGTTATTGAAATAATATTTTCAGAATGAGTTTTGTGGAGATTTTTAGGAAATTTCACAGGTTGAAATCATGAGTCAGTTGAAGCTAGACCGCCATTGAAAACCTGGAAACACTGGACGGCCGTTTCGTCCTAGTATGGGACTCCTCAGCAGTGCGCATCCACGAACCCGCCCCCCGCGGGATTCGAACCCAGGAACTACTGGCTTCGCGCGCGAGCACTTAACCATTAGACCACTGAGCCGGCATCCAACGGTGTTAATGTCTAACTTCAACCAATCCACGAAGTTGCGCCACCGAACACCATTGTCTTCAGTGAGCTGATATCTCACAACAGACCTGGTTGAACTCCACTGGTAACGGCTTCTCACTAGAACTCTAGGAGGTTCTCCTGAAGTCAGTCACTAGTGAGCAGTTGATTATTAACAGAATGAGTTTTGTGGAGATTTTTTAGGAAATTTCACAGGTTGAAATCATGAGTGCTTCCAGGTTTTCCATGGTGGTCTAGCTTCAACTGACTCATGATTTCAACCTGTGAAATAATATTTATTTTATTGAGTGAATGTTACGTATATCTACATATAATTTTAAGTACAATCATTAATCCTGACAGTTGCTGCTACCTTGATGTGGTGGTGAGGGTTTGACTATCGTAATGAACTAATCGAGCTATACAGGCTGAAACAATCGTCCCCCAAGGCCCTATCATGCCAGACAGGTCGGTTGAAGAAAGGTGAGACTAAAAGCAGCAAATCCATGGTCCGAGGACGAAGTCATACTGCCGACTGTACAGAAGTGTGGTGGCAGTAAGTTGTTTCCTTTAGACAACCAGCATAGCAGCGATACCACCTTCCCACAAGGAAGGTTGGGGTTAGTAAAGGTTGATCCTAAAAATGTACACCCCGTCTTATCGCACAGATTTCCGTCTCCGGTGGTAAGGTTTCAACAAGTACGGAGCTAGCACGAAACGTACTCACAAAAAGGTCGTGTATGACCGACCTCAAACAGTTGTTCCTTGGGCACTGTGGTCACGCCATCAGGTCATTAAGACCACCCCTGACCCAAGTTTCTTTTTCAGATACCTCTAGAAAAACCCTTCCATAGGAAGTGATAACCGCCATCTAACAGCACTCAAGATCACTGGCTGACAATCAATAATAAAATAGTAACGATATGTATAAATTTATGTAGTTCCCGAAACGATTTGCAGTTTTTGTGGTGACAAGAATAAGCATTTTTTATAAAGACCAAATATTTTATTTAGTTTGGAGTTGTGGAGACTGAACACAATAACATCGTGGATTGGCTGGAACTTGACATTAACACCATTGGATTCCGTCTCAGTGGTCCAAAGGTTAAATGTTTGTGAGCGAGACCGAAAGTTCTGGGTCCGAATCCCGCATGCGGGGTCATTGATGAGCAGTACCGAGGAGTTTCATACCAGGACGAAATGGTCGTTCAGTGCTTCCAGTTTCTCAATAGTTGTCTAACATTGACCGATTCCTAATTCTAATAATAAAATATTAGTCTGTTTTATTACATCAGTTTACTACTGTATGTTTTATTGGTAAATAAGTTGCAAAACTAATGATGTAACATACTGTTATTACGAATGTCTTTGTAATGAATGAAGTTAGTCGAATCAATGGTATGAATTAGTAAGCAGGGACACACATGAAGGCAACGCTAAATATTATGAAAAACATTAAAAAGAAGTAAATGAATCTTTCAAGCTTTTCTAGCCGTATACTTGAGGTATGTGTGCATTGTCGTGAAATGTACCATGTTATGGTATTCAGTAACAAATATATATCTTTACAGGTTTATATAGTTTGGTGCCTGAACATCTTAAAATAGAAATTTTTTGCGAATTGCTTCCCTTCAGTGCATCCTTCGATCTGAGATGCAATTTGAAATTAGCAACAGTTTCGACTGTTTGGACTTTTGGTGTGAATGTTTAAAAAAAGTGAAAACATTGATTGTTCAAAGTGCTAACTACAAGGTATACCTATT